ACTATGATTTCCTAAATCCTTAAATCGATATCCTTGAATAAGAAAAATATTTTAAAGTAATGTATAATATTGCACCATAACAATGTTGCATTGCAACATACTTTATTACTATTTTATACATTCATTTTTTTAAATTTTCAAAGTCTTGTTGCTTGATTAAAGTTTATGTTTTTCGAAAAGAAGACCTAAAATTTCATACACTAAAGGATCTATTAAAATTAAATCATCAATAGTAGATAGACTTTCAAATAATAAGTTTAAATAAGAATTATTTGAATTATTAGGAATCATCATCTATATTTAAAAGTTATTTATTATTTTTATTAAACAGATATTTTTTTAAATACGAGAAAAAAAAAGTTTAACTATAGTTTTACATAACACAATTTCACATAACACAATTTTACATAACACAATTTTACATAACACAATTTTACATAACACAAGTTTACATAACACAAGTTTACATAACACAATTTTACATAACACAAGTTTACATAACACAAGTTTACATAACACAAGTTTATATAACACAAGTTTATATAACACAAGTTTATATAACACATGTTTACATAACACAAGTTTATAATATCTTTTTAATCTTTTTAAACCAAGATTGGAGTAGAAAACTTTTACTTTTAAATTTTTAAATCTAGCTTTGAGCTCCCTCATTACTATTGATGAGAAAAGTTTTTTTGGGCTTCTTCGGTCAAAATGTTTTTTGAAAACGTTTTAAAAACCATTTGGAAAAAAAAAAAAATTAATAGTTTTATTCAAAATACGGTAAATAATCAAATACAGTAAAAAATAATCAAACAAAAAAAACGATATAACATATGACAAGTGATTATAGGCACTTGTCATATGTTATATCGTTTTATCACCGTACACAATCCCAAATGGCATTTTAATGTTATCATGGTGCCCCACTCTCGCCTTATTTTCCCCTACTCAACGGTGATACTTGTTTAATGCTAAAGTATGTTAGAAAACATGATTATCTTTTTTAGTCATAATTTTATGTACCGGAAAAATACTTTCTCCCGTCTATAGAAACGGGAACAACCAGAGCTAAAATCAGATAGATCAGATGCGGATCAGATAGATAGAACCAGATGCTATAATCAGATAGCAGAACTGTTATACTATAACTTTTAACGTTTTTAAATTATTTCAACAATACCCATTAAAAAAAAAACAAACGCACAACTTCAATTGGCTATTTAAACTTTTACGTCAAATAAGCAATTATATCATTCCAACGCTCTTTAATTTGTATTCGAATGTCATTTTGAAAAGAGTCGTATTGAAAATAGAAGTTATTTGAGATTTATGCTGATATTTGTTATGAAATTAATAATAGATTAAGAGTGTAATTTTTTTAATGTAATCGCCTCAATCAACTACTTCAATCTAATATGAGCAACGAGTTTACGAGTTTAAAACAATGCTAACAGATGATATCACGCTAAATTTGATTTTATCACCATTTCTCTCAAGAAAAAATAAGGACTTAAAATTTGTAATAAAGAAAAACTTAGGATTTTCAAAAAATCAGATAAGTTGTAAATTAAACAGACCTGTGAAGCTTTTATTTTATGAAGGTTCTCGCTAAAAAAATGTATGGTTATTTAATTGACTGATTCTTTGCTTAAAGATAATATAAAGAGTATTTAAAAAGTAAAAATGTTTTATGGTAAACAAGGATTTAAACAAGGGCAATTTCAACTCATCAGAAATGCTAAAAAACATAAATTTGCTAAGTGATTTTCTACTAATTTGTAATTGCTCTGTTCTTTTAAGAACATTGAGCACTCTTTTTGTAGAATACATTTTAAATTGTTTAAATATATATATATATATATATATATATATATATATATATATATATATATATATATATATATATATATATATATATATATATATATATATATATATATATATATATATATATATATGTATATATATATATATTTATTTATATATAAATATATATATATATATATATATATATTTATATATATATATATTATATATATATATATATATATATATATATATATATATATATATATATATATATATATATATATATATATATATATATCTATATCTATCTATCTATCTATCTATCTATATATATATATATATATATATATATATATATATATATATATATATATATATATATATATATATATATATATATATATATATATATATATATATTATTTGACCGTTCCGGCGCTTTTATTTTCTACATGACAACACTGATAGCAACAATTTTTTGCGTTAAATTATAAAATGCACGTCTTTTATTTATTATTTATAAAACAACTCTTCTATTGACTTGATGTATGATAAAAGATCCTGTTCAGCTTCTATTGACAAAATTTGCTTGAAAAAGCTAACTTTGTTAAAAATATGTGATGCTACTGTTCATATTTTGATCAGCTGGCTATTGGCAATATGCCTGGGGAGAACAGATTTAGATATACCATTTGTATCAGCAGCTTTTCTAATACTTGGTTTGATTATACTCACAGCTAAAACTGGATTTTCATTAGGCTTTCATCCCATTTTAAACAATTAGTCTTTTTTACATAATTTCTTACCATCGTTATTTAGATTAAACACTATTAATGACTGATGTTATAGTTATATGTTAAGTTATAAAAACAAAAATTTTTTTGAATTTGTTTTTTATTTAGCTTTTCTAAATAAGGAAAATAATATTTTAGATTAAAAATAAAGTCATTACATTGTGATGATTTTATATCTAAAATATTATTTTCAGCATCATATAATGGTAGTTATATGATGCTGAAAATAAAAAATATATATAATACTACAATTATGTGATGCAAACAGCATCATATAATGGTAGTAATATAGTCAAGTATACTTATAACTTATTGACCCAATATGCCCCAAAAAAGTCATTTTACTGAAAATAACACTATCCAAATACTGAGTACCAGATATTTTTGCTAAAAGATTTTGAGAGAATAAAAATGTCTGAAAAATTTTTTATAAATAAAGCGAGTTACAATAATTCAAGATAAAAGTTTTTTCTTAAACTATTTAAAGTTTGATCGGTTCAGAAAATTTAAATTTCAAAATGCAAAAAAACTTAATATATAATTTAAACAAAAAAATATATTTTGTATTTTAGATTTAAAACTAAAGATTAATAATTAAGAAATGAAAGAAGTTTTTAAAGCTTCCATTTTCGCTTTGCAAGAGATTTATAAATGCTAACTTCCAACCAGTTTAATTGTTTTGACAATATGGTTTTCTCTAATTATAATTTTTTTTTTTTTTGTTTAAATTTGCATTATGTTAAATGCCTTAATATAATTATATTCGCTTAGAGATAAATATTTTGCGGCTGTGGCGCACAATATTCATCTCTAAGCGACAAAGATTGTGCGGCCGTGGCGCAGTGGTTAGAGCGCTTGCTTTATAAGCAGGAGATCCAGATTCGAAACGAGCTTTGGACATATTTCGCGTCACGGTAAGGAAGGAGGCGTTAACTTTCTGGTTAAATGCACCTCCGCGGTGCTCTGTGACAAGACCGTAAGGACTTCTTGGGGCACCTAAATAACATAAAAAAAATAATAATAATAAATAAATACAATTATATTTACAAGCTTTTGTGAAGAAATATTTTCAAAACGAAAAACTTGTCATTAATTTTATTTTGTTCCTTGTCATTAATTTTATTTTGGAATTATTTCTTGAACTTTTTAAAAGATTGTACTCTAATCTTTTAAACAATATGTCGAAGTTTTGCTTCACGAACTTTATCCTCCAAAATTTTAACAACAGCATGCTTCTTGATTATTGTCTTTAAAAGAAGGTTGCATTTCAGTATGTTTTAGTTTGTAGCAAATAATAATTGAATTTGATTTTTTGTTCAAAGTACGAATAAGTTTAACTTTGATGTTAAGATTTGAATTTTCAGTAGGGAGTTTAATTAGTTTTAACTGTTTTTTAAAAAGAAATAAAACAAGTAAAAAATGCTCAACTTCCAAATATAACTAGCTTTGATCTTGGTCAATGATTTCTATGAAAGTGATAAAAAGAATCATTAAAAGTTTAAATTACAATAAATAAATATTCTCTCATCGTAATCAGCAAAAATTAGAAAAAATAATTTAGTATTCTATGTAAAACCCAGTTTATTGTGTAAATTTATTTAATTAACAGATACCAGAATACTAATGTCATGTGGTTTCAATGGTGGTTTCAAGGCAACATTGCGAAAATGTGCAATCTAAGTCTTTTTTATAAAATATATTATAATACCTATTTTAATATAAAATATTACATTAAAATGGTAATAGAGTAATCTAAATATAAATAAACAATAAAATAAATAAATAATAAAAAGCAAAGTATTAATATATTTCATGTATTATTGTTACTATTTATAACCGTTATTCAAACTTTTTATTTGTTGTTGGTTGCTTTAGTTTGTTAAGGTGATCCGACCTAATGCAACGCAACGCGGAAGCAGGTGCGGAATATACAAAATGTCCGCTGTCTTCTTTACCAAAGATGCTTTGACGGTCAGAGCCGCTACTAAGACTCAAACTATAGATTTTGAAAAAAGCGCTCTAACTTAAAAAATAATTTATTTAATTTTGTATTTAGAGAGAAAAAATAATCCCTTAGGTAAATAAAAGCAATTAAAACTTATATTTATATCAAAATATTCAAATAAAAAAAAATTAAGGATTCGGAAAAATCTAAATCTAAATGACATTAATTCCTGAGTCTAGTATTGGGTCTAGTAACTGAATATAATATCTACGGCAACTACAGGTTCCTTAAAGTTGTTTATAAATAACCATATAAATAAAACATAATTCATATTATTTTATAAAAAAATAAGTATTATTGTAATTGTAGTTTTATGATTGTTGCTATTATTATTATAATTTTATTTTTAACTATATTATAATATTATATATTTCATTATTAAATCTAACCTGCTTCATTGAATTCATCTTCTTCCTCTTCTTCGTCATCGTTTCCAAATGTTCCTGTAGGTTTGCTTATTTCTTCAATATCCTGACTTCTTCTTCTGCTTTGAATATGTCTCCGACCTTGAGCAAAAATATCTGCTAATAAATGTCTATGGCCACGGTTAGAGTGGTCATGTTCAACATTTCGTTCGTTTTGTTCTTCCCGTATAAACCCGCGTCTGTTTGATATCTTACGGCTGGGTATATCTCCATTACCAGACATTTCAAAAATTAAAAAATATTTACGCTATATAAAACTAATATGAAAAATAATATTATTATTTTCCTAAACACCGAATCATTTCAATTATTTAGCTTATAAATTTCATGCTTAAGGAAATTATTTTGCATTCCGCATATATTTTACAAATATCATTCATCAGATGTTTTCAACCGAACTTTTACTGTTTACAAGCCGTTTTCTAAGTATTGTATTATAGCATTTGTACCTGTTTCTTTGCGTAAAGTTAGCCGCCATACTAAAATTTAAATTTAAAATGCGGCAAAATGGCTTTTTTTGAAAAATAGAACCTATTTTTTTTAAATTAAAGATTTTAAAATTAAACATTTTTTTTATTATAGTTTTATAATATTATAAACTAGAATTAACATGTAATAACAAATATATTATATATATTATATATATGCGTGCGTTAAATTTAACGTGATTAAAGTATTATTTTAATATATATAAGAAGAACAAACTGTTCGAAAAATAACTAAAATGCTAACTTTATAATTATTATTTATACAAAAGTTCTACTTAATTAAAGGACGTACTTATACGAATAGTTTGCATTTAAACATTTTTTTATATGCAGTTATATGTCGTTTTTTTTTTAGATTTTTTTGCCAACATTAGAAGTACGACTTGATTACTTTATAAAATGGAAGCGTGAAAATTACTATTAAAGGGTATTATGCGTAACGACAAGGTTTGAACAAGTAAGTTCTATCTGCAACTATAAAAAATTTACAAGTCGCTATACGAGATGAATGCAAGAATAGCATATTTTATGAAGCAGCTACATATTTAATATTAAAGAATTTTTAAATATATCAATTCATCTTTGAAATGATTGTAGTTTCTTGTTTGATGTTCATAATAACTTTGGAAAAAAATTTTATTTCAATGTTCGAGCATGTTTAGATTAAATAAAATATTCTTAAAAAACAACACTTCAATATTAACAATATTTCCACAAAATGTTTATTACCAAAATTATTAAAGGTATTTGGTAACCATAATCTTTTTGGTCAACAAAAAAATTAATCTTGGAAAGTATGAATAATAATGAATAATAAATAACAATAAAGAAAAAAAAATCATCTATTAAATTCTATATACAAAGTACAGAAACAGGCCGTTTAAAACTTTAATTATTTTTATTTAAAAGTATATTTTTACATATTTATATTTGAAGCCCATAAATTAATGTTAACAATAATGGCTTTAACGCATGGCTTTAATGTTAACAATAATGGCTTTAAACAGTTTGGCGTAGTTTAAACTTCGTAGTTTTATTTATGCGCGTTTTAAACTACGCAGTTTAAAACTCATTAATAGGTTTTAAACTCATTAAAATAGGTTTTAAAACTCATTAATAGGTCTTAAACTGAGCGTTTTAAACTTCGTAATTACAAAAAAAATTAACAAGGATTGGACGCTTTTGTTTAACAACATTGTTTTTATAAGGTGATTTAAGAAAAGTCGACAAATTATCTTGATAAAACTAAAAAAAACTTTTTGTTGTCCTCGCTAAAATGAACGTTAGTTTTTACGATATTATATTGCAATTACAACTGATTAAAGATTTATCTATTTCAAGTCACGCGTTTTTAATGCGTTAACTCGATGGCGTTGTAAAAAAATCAATCTTAATTAAATATTTTTAATTTTTGAACGTTAAATACATGATTTGGGTTCGTGGAAATTTTTCTCACGGTAGAAATTTAAAAAAAAAATACTTTTTTATCATTTTTTTAATCTCGGAAAAAGACTGAAAAGGTAAAAACTAAAAAATTTAACGATCAAATTTTGTTCGTCTGTGCAATTGTCTCAAACAACCTGTATGTGGTTACAATTTTTTTCTTCTCATATTGATCACTTTTCCTGCGATATGTAAAATAGCATAAACTATATTACAGGATTTCTTACCTCATTTTGACATCGTATCGTTTAATTTCGACATTGCAATGTCTAAAAATGAAATCAACAAAAAAGATAAATAAATATATAATTTAAAAGAAGAAAAGAAAAAGAAATATCTGAAAGAAAATAAGTAAAAAAGTAATGAAAATAGAAATTAAAAAAAAATGTTAATGAATGAAATATATAAAAAGAATGGCAAAGAAAGAAAAAAAACTATTTAAAGATCGGCAAATCAAGATTTTTAATTATTTTTTCATATATTTCTTTTTTCTTTTATATATTTCTTAGCATTATTTATTTTATTATTTATTTATTTTTCTTCAATTTTTTAACGTTTGTTTGTTTTTTAGTTATTATTTATTTTTAGTGGTATATAAATTTTTTATATGGTTATATATAATTATTTTTATTTTCATTTTTGCCATTTATTATATATGTTTTATTCTACCGTGTATTATTATTGCTTTTTACTCTTAATTTTTTTTATTGTTGTTTTTTTTTGTTGTTTTTTTTTTTTTTTGCATAATTTTTTGCTTTGTTCGTAATGTTTGTTGTAACTTGCTTTGTTTTGATTTTCTCAGTGTTTTTCTGTTTATATTTTATTTATTTATTTGCTCATAATATTTGCAATATATTTTGATTATTATATTTTAACAACTATGATTATAATAATATATTTACTAAACTTATATTAATATATTTACTAAATCTTTATAATTTTTGTAGCATTGTTCGTTTTTATGTCGTCATTAGTTGTTACGTTTTGTCAGTTTATTACTGTTTGTAACTGTAACTTTGTATTTAAAAATGATTGCTGTATAGAAAGTAATACCAATTTATTTAAATTATTATAATTACTTTATTATTATTTTTGTTGTTATTGTTATTATACAATTATTTTTATTATTATGTTATTGTTAATTTATTGCTATTTTTATTATTTTTATAATTATATGTGTCTGTAATATGTTTTATATAATTAAAGTGGTTTTTACTTTATATTAGTTCTTATAACTATTTGTAAACGACCGTGGAAATTAGATCTTTTTTCCAGAATATGTAATTGATTGATTGATCCACCCAGTCGGAATCACGTGACTATATTTCGAAATTAAAAGTAACCATATTGAACTTGGGGGAAACAAGCTATTCTTTTCTATACGCAAAGTTAAGAAAACATTATTTAACAATAACTTTATGTCCTATAACTACTTTAAAAGTTAGTCAAAAGAAGCAGCGAATAGATGTCTGCAAAATATAAGTTTTTTAGGTGATTTTACTTTTAGACTTTAGTCAATGAGTAAACGGCCTCATTGAATATTAACCTAAATGGAAAAATAGAAAACAAAGAAATAATTTTAAGCATAAATATGCAGGTTAAAACTTATAGATTATAAATATATATTATGTAGTCACGATGCTGTGGTGCAGGCTTTCACTTTCAATCTTGAAGATAAAAAAATTCATAAATATAATTCTCGTTCCGGCCGGAATTTTAACAACAATTCCGTTTGGAAATTAAAATTCGGGTTTCCGGCCGGAACTCAAAATTTCCGATCTGGTACAGTACATTAAATTTCGTTACATTCAATCTCGACATTGCAATGTCGAAGATTGAATGTCAAAATGTGATGCAACAATGCATTGTTGCATCACATTTTGACAATTTAAAAACACTACATTATGAACAAAAAATTTCATATTTATGGTGAAAGTTTTTGTTAAATAATAATGGGTTGCATTTTTTTTTTTTGTTTTTTTTGTTTTTTGTTCTTTAATTGTATATATATATATATATATATATATATATATATATATATATATATATATATATATATATATATATATATATATATATATATATATATATATATATATATATATATATATATATATATATATATATATATATATATATATATATATATATATATATATATATATATATATATATATATGTATATATATGATCGTAATTAAAATATAAAAAAAAGCGGGAACCCGTAGAAGAAAGGAATAATGGATTGCATTAAATCGGGACATTAAAATAATTAATATGGCTATTTTTTAAATTCTAAAATATTTAAATCATGAATGTGGTTTCGAAAATTTTTTTTCGGATATACGTAAAATATATATGTAAAAAAATTTTGTGGATATTAATTAATTTTGTGAATATTAAGCCAAATATACTTACCGTCTACCAAATAAACATTTATCATCTTTTAATTTTTACGTTCAAAGTTAATTTAAAAATAACACTTAACATTTTTAATTCGTTATTCATAATAAGTAAGCATAGATACTTAACCAGATACTCAAACAACACCTATATTCAGTCTAAAAGTTTTTTTGCAGCAACGAGTTTTTAATATCTATTAGAGGTCTAAAAGTATGGAATAAATTTATATCTAATAACCTTAAAACTTATGAAACTCTTAACGAATTCAAAGCAATATTAAAACAAACACTTCCGGTTAGTGTCCGGTTAGTATTTCAGTTAGTCATTCTACTACATACCAAGATGCATCGATAGTTTTAAATATACTTGTTCACAATAATCGAGAGAGAAGAAATTCTGAATACGTTGTTAATAAAAGAGTTGTTTAAGCAGAAAGATTCATAAACATTTTGTCTTTATTGATGAAGTAGGGATTTAGTCTTTCAATGCGAATTATTAGAGTACGTTTTTTTTTTTTTTTTTATAGTTAGTTTATTTTGTCGTTTTACACATTTTACAATGTTATCTTTAAATTCGAATAAATATATATATAATTACAAGCTGACAGGGGCAAGTAGAAGACATAAAGTCTTATCATCAAGCCCTTTTGTGAAATAGAGAAATATAAAATTTCTAAAATTCCAATAATATAAAAAAGAGTTAAATTAAAATTTTTTGAAAAAAATAAACAAACATTCAAACAAAATTAAAATAAAAATAAAAAAATTTAAAGAGTTTGAAATAAAGTAAAAAGATTGAAAAAAATTAAAAAGTTTAAAATAAATTAAAAATTAAAAAAAGTAAAAATTAGAAAGAAAAAAAAATAATAATAATAATAATAATAATAAAATCTCGAAATAAAAAAATAAAAATGTATACAATGCGTAAATTAAAAAGTTTGAGTTTTTTTTTACAAATCAGTACATATACGTATACATATTCAATACAAAGTTCTTTAGCCAGGAAGGGGGCTACGTAAACTATTGGGCAATGAACAAAAATGAAATTTATTAATATGAAGCACAAACAAGAGCATTTCATACAGAAAATTTTTTATATTTATTTGCATAGTATAAGAACAATTAGCTGTTAAAGAAATTGTTAGAGCAATCTTAATTTTAGATAATGTTTGTTTTCATAAAGCTGCTGTTGTTCAAGATTAAATGATAAGCTGTTTCCGTTTGGAAAGAAAAGAAAGGTTTGTTTAGAATGAAGAGGAACTACTTTAAAATATACGAAACGGTGCATTGAATATTACTAGCACAAATTGTAATAACTATTTTGGGCACGTATTTAGGTATATAATTCCGTGATTGAGAAGAAAATCAATTATTGACGAATAAACTTTTTTATTTTTCATTTTTAATCAATTTTAAATATTTTAAATTAATATTTGCAATTACAATACTTTAAGCTGATAATTTTTTGTTTAAATTTGAAAAACATTTTTTTTTAAATTTAAGTTTCAAAACAAACTAAAAATTATATTATCTGAATGAATTTAGAAAGAATATAACTGTTTTATTTTATATTAATTAAAGTGTTCTTAGCGCTGTCAAAATTGAAAGAAAACCAAAGAATGTCGAAATCAAATGCAACGATGTTGAAATTGAATGCATCATTGTCACAAGGTATTAATACAATATCAAAGTTGAATTATAAAATGTCGAAATGAGGTGGGAAACCCTGTATCTTTCTTTGATCATTTTAACAAGTTTAATTTTTTTAAATTTTGATTGTTTAATAAATTTTCTCCGCAGCCGTCACAACAATCAACAGTATATCGTTTGAGACTGAAAGAATGGCGTCTTTTTTGTGTACGTTGTCTAAGATCAATTAAATTAGGAATGCCTTCAATTCTTTTTCCTACAACACATGCTACCAAAATCCGATAAAAATAATTTTTGCTTTTATTTCAGTCTGAATTTGCCTAACAACGGCCTACGTTTTACGTTTGTACGCAGCAATTGGGACAAAGTTGTAGCCATACCATTGTTGACGTCCTAACAAAACACTTTCTGTTAGGACTTCAACTTTTCTGACGTGTATAAAATCAGAATTTCAGCGGATCATTTTAGGCATTTTAAGCAGATCGCCGTAGTTTTGCTCATCAGTAACTTAGTGGACCATTAGTAGCAGCCGCCAAAATCGGCTAGCCGATGGTTAGCCATTATTAACATGTCGTAATGTTATCGGCTTGCCATTTATAGCGACTGTCACTAATTATCCACTAAGTAACCAATCAGCGATTAACCGCTAAAATATGTCTATATAAGTCGACTGCAAATCCACTAAAACAATGTTTGCTAGGATGCTTTGTTGAAAACAATAAAAAAGCTTTGTTCTATTTTAGTTCATAAGAAGTTTTTAATGCGTTAACCTAAACAATAAGGAAACAGCTTTCAATTTTTTTTTTTTATTGTAGTTTAAAAGTTTTATTTGTTTTTTAAGCAAATTTTAATCTTGTATTGTACATGTAAACAAGTCGTCAGTTGTTATATTTACACTTAGTTCTAAAAGTAAGTTTTTACAACGTGTAATTTACACGACTAACAAGGACTAACATAGGGCTTTCTTATATCCTACATTTCTTATATCACAGGGGCGGTTAGTTTAGGGTTAGTCTTGTTAGGCGCATTGACTAACATCTTTTTTACTAAACTAAACAAAGATCAGGCTAATGAAATAGGTTATATACTTTTGAGATTATTTTTGAAAATAAATAAAATCTCTATATTTTTGGTCTAAACAGCAATACCAATTAAATTATGATAAGTATATGCGCACGCAATAGCCCCGTCTTGTAATTTTTTTTTTTTTCGGTAGCGTAACTTCGGACCAAGTTAGTCAAGAAATCTTGCGACCAAGGAGCTTTAATAAACAGGAGACGGTGTCACGTGATTTTTTTGAAGCCAGTTTTAAAAAACGGACGCCATCTTGGTTAACCCAAAACATTTCACGGAACTTAAAGAATTTAATAAAACATTGCACTAAATGATTGAATTATTCGAAAGTTTATGTTTGGCAGCTTCTACAATCTAATAAAAAATTATTTGCTAACTGATTGTCTTCTTCAGTTTATTCCAATAACTTTCCGAATACTGAAATAGACCTTCAGATAGCTGTATTTCAACACGATAATAGAAAATATTGTATTTCAGATATTATGAAAGATTCTTGAGAAAATAAAACCAAATGTTTGTGAGTTATTACCTATATTTAAACAAATAATATATATATACATATATATATATATATATATATATATATATATATATAGGTACGTGAGTAAAAATTTCAAATTGTTTAAATATTCTACTGTTATATATCATTGGAAAGAGAATCAATACAGTATTTTAAAGGTGAAAAAATTTTAAAAATCGAACAATTGGTTCAAAAGTTATGACGGTTTAAGTACCGATTTTTTGATATATGGAATTGTTGAAGAAACTGTGGTCAAAATTATGTTTTTCCTCACTTAAATTGTCATAACTTTCTTAATTCTTATCAAAATACAAATATCTTGGTGTCAAAAGATAGGTGTGAGAGTGGGCTACAAATTTTTGTTGAACTCTAACCACCGGGCGTATCGGATGGACAGAGGGGGCACCAAACCACTACCTTACCCTAATGAAACTGAACATTTTTTTCAGAAAAAAAGTTTTTTTTCAAGACATAAGTAATTTAAATATACAAAAAAAGTTGTTATAAAATTATATTAAACCACCGATTATATGAGAGACGTATGTTAACGATGGAGGTGGGTGCGGTGGTGATGGTTTGATACACCCTAGCATTAAAAATAACTTGTTTTCATTAAAATTTTTAATGAAAACCCTCCCCCAACCTAAAAAATAAAAAATAAAAAATAAAAATAACAAAGCATTATACATCAATCAAAATCAAGAAACATTTAACACAATCTTAAAAATAAATTTTATTTAAAATCATATTGCAGAGTTGAAACATATATACTAACCAGTTAGAGCAGATGATGGCACTATAAAAGAAATAAAAAAGCATTATACACAATCTTAAAAATAAATTTTATTTAAAATCATATTGCAGAGTTAAAACATATATACTAACCAGTTGGAGTAGATGATGATGGCACTAAAAAAGAAATAAAAAAGCATTTTACACAATCTTAAAAATAAATTTTATTTAAAATCATATTGCAGAGTTAAAACATATATACTAACCAGTTGGAGTAGATGATGATGGCACTAAAAAAGAAATAAAAAAGCATTTTACACAATCTTAAAAATAAATTTTATTTATAATCATATTGCAGAGTTAAAACATATATACTAACCAATTGGAGCAGATGAAGATGCCACTAAAAAAGAAATAAAAAAGTATTTTACACAATCTTAATAACAAATTCTATTTAAAATCATATTGCAGAGTTTAAACATATATACTAACCAGTTGGAGTAGATGATGATGGCACTAAAAAAGAAATGAAAAAGCATTTTACACAATCTTATTGCAAATCATATTGCAAAGCAAAAATATACAACCTTACCAGTTAGATCAGTGGAAGGTGGAACTAAAAAATTGAAAACATAATACAAACAAAAATCCTTAAATTATTTTGCGTTTAAAAAATGCTGCAAAATTATAATATATTTATTCTTACCAGCTGAAACAGATAATGGTGGTACTAAAAAAAAAAAAATCATAATAATTTATTATTTTCATAATTACCTTGCTATGAAAGTCTTATTACAAAGTTAAAATAAATAAACTTACCAGTTGGATTAGTATAAAATATATTGCATGATTTTTTTTATTAAATCATGTTACAAAGTAAAAAAATACAATATTTAAATAACTTTAAAATATGGAAGCATATAATACACATACCAATCTTGAAGTTATTATTAAAATTTGAATATTAAAAATATATTAAAAAGTTAAAATAAAAAAACCTTACCAGATAGAGCAGCTATAGATGATACTTCAGAAAAAAAAAAAAAATGTAATGAACAAAAAACTTACTCTTGCAATTACTTTGCCATATAAATAATTTTGAAATATCATAATATAGAAACCTTACCAACTGCAACAGATGACAAGGATATGAAAGATTAAATAATACAATGACACAAAAAATTAAATGGTACATGTAAATATTACATGTTAAATATAAATACATAGTACATATTAAATATACAATAACATAGTACATATTAAATAGTACAATACTGCATAATACACAAAATCAACCTATATTTCTCAATACTTAAACATAAAAATACACCTTAATCTCTTACCAATTAATGAAGTAAGTGTTGCTAAAGAATTAAAAGGAAAAAATAGTAACAATAGTAATAACAATAGTTTACTAAAATAAACTTAATTTCAAGTTACACTTTTCGTTACATCTTTAGTTAGCGTGTGTCAATAGAGTAAACAGCTTTAACGTGTATCAATTAAATAATAATCTTAGCATGAATCATTAAACTATACTATTGAAATTGTTTAAATTTATTAAACTTACAAAACTGCTGTCTGAATTCGCCTAAAAGCCAATTTAAATATACTAACTTTATTATAAAATTAAATTATCAGACTAACATTACAAAAAAAAAAAGTTCAAATGACTAAATAACTAAAATAGTTCAAACTTTACTTACTAATAGTTTGTTCTAAATTGTCTATAGAAAAAAAATAACAATGACTCAATAAAAAGCAAGAAATAATCAGGAATATACAAAATAAACAACTGTGAAAAAACTTTGTGGATGCACAAAAATCGGTACAAAACACATAGCATAATAAAGATATATAATTTAATATTGAGAGCAAAAGACTAAATACTAAAATAATAAATCGCCAAAAAAAACTGACTTATCCTCTCAAAAGCATCATCTAAACAAAAAATGAAAAACTTTTTTTAGCAAAATAATACAAACATTTGAATAAATCTACTGATCTTAAGTTAAAAGAAACTAATGAATATTCAATGTTTAAAATAACTAACTGATATTGTTGGCTGCTGCCGTAGGACTGCTTTGGGCAGCTAAACAATATAACAAATGTTCTTGATTATTTACGTTACATTTATTATACATAAAAGTTGAATAAGGTTGCTAACATATATTAGTTAAATATGACCATATTTAATTTATATTATTTGTTACAGTTGAAAGATTAACAGTTAATCATTAAAAAAAAAAGATGATTATCGTGCATCTTTTTATAAAAAAGTCTAGGTAAAAACTAGACTTTTTTCTCCAATAACAATTACAATATACTACTTACTGTTGTATCATGATGATACAACAAGACTCTCCAATAACAATTGTAATATACTACTACTAGTAGTAGTTTATTACAATTGTTATTGGAGAGACTAATTGTTGTATCATGATCATCATGATACAACAATTTTTTTAATGATTACAATGTAAGATAAAATATGTTATAATGTTACTAATATGTCAGTTACATTTTTAAAAAATTCAACTTTCAAGTAAGGAAACATTAAAATTCAGTTAAATTAAATTATTTGCCTTCAATGTAAAGTTAATAAGTTTCAATAACTTTACATTGAAGGCAAATAACTTTTTTAAAATTTTAATAAATAGGAAACAATATTGTAAACCTTTATCAACATCTTTATTTTCCATTTTATTTAATCTAAAAAAAAACTGAAATTTTATTTAATTAGAATCAAATGTAAACAATGTTTATTTAACCCCTCTGTCTCCCGCGACCACTTCAGCAAAATTGAAAATTAGGTAGGAAAAGTGCGACAAAAAATAGACACCCTGCTACAACTTTGGATAGAACTAGTCTCTCGTGTGTGAGAGTTCGGTATGGTGCCATACCAAGCATTTTTGAAGCTTTTCCATGCTACTTAAAAAAAGCTAAACCAGTTCGTAAGGCTCCAAAATTGAGAACCTATGCAACCTCGGATTTTATGACTGCAAGTGTTATAAATGATGATTTTTCTAATTCTTGTACTTCACTACCAATGACAGTTGAATTTCAAGCTGCTATTACCAGTGATGAAACTCCAAGAAAAGCAAACTTAAATCGAAAGTTATGCAAGGCAGAAAGATCTTTAGCTTTTTCTAAAAAAAAAATAAAACTTTTACAACAAAAAAAAAGAAGGCTTGCTAAGAGAAATGCTAGCTTAAAAAATGTTATTGCTGATCTTGAGAGAAATAATGTACTGGAAGGTGAGAGCCTTTATATATTGCAAAAGTCTGCTGGAAGGGTAGGAGATTTGTTACGAAGACAATTTTCAAAATGCTTAGGAAAATCTACTCAGCAACAATTTTCACCAGAATTAAGAAGTTTTGCTTTAACCTTGCATTTCTATTCGCCTCATGCATATCGTTATGTGCGCAAAATGTTTAATACTTGTCTTCCGCATCCAAGAACAATTGAGAAGTGGTTTCACACTATTAATTGTAAGCCAGGTTTTACAGCAGAGTCTTTTACAGCTTTGCAACATAAAGTGTCTGAGATGGCTGCAAAAAATAAGAACCTTCTTTGCGCTTTAATAATGGATGAAGTTGCAATTAGACAACAAGTTGAGTGGGATGGCAAAAAGTACCAAGGGTACATAGATTATGGGACTGAAATTGATGATGATAGCTTGCCTTTAGCAAAAGAAGCACTAACATTTATGGTTGTTTCTATGAATGATTCGTTTAAGCTTCCAATAGCTTACTTTTTGATTGACGGGCTTACAGGGAAACAACGAGCTAATTTGGTTCGGCAGTGCCTTACCAAACTTCATAGTATTTGTGTGACTGTTGCATCCCTTACTTGTGATGGTTGTGCTTCAAACTTTTCAATGGCAAAATACCTAGAATGCAATACTGATTCAGCTGACTCTAATTTTAAAGCTTGGTTTCAACATCCAGAAACTAAAGAAACAGGTTGTACTTTTTTTTGATCCTTGCCATATGCTTAAATTAGTACGTAATACACTAGGTGATAAAAAATCCTTGGTTGATGGTGAAGGGCAATTTGTTAAGTGGGAATATATTGAAAAACTTCACCAACTTCAAGAAAATGAAGGTTTACATTTCATGCAAGTTTACAAAAACTTGCATGAAATAACCTGTTTCTTGCAGCAATCAAGGCAATATATTGTTGCTCTACAAGAATCATTAAATGGCAAACCTTTACTTAAGTCAAATCGTAAGACTGGCTTTTTGGGATTTTTAGCTGCCATTGACAATGTTTTACTTTTGTATCATTGGATAATTGTTAAACCTCAGTTTGGTATGAAATTTATGTGTTCTTTTAAATTTAGCCAAGATCATATAGAGCTGTTTTTCGGAAAAATAAGAAGTTTATTGGGTTGTAATAATAACCCTTCAGCAAAACAGTTTATTGGAGCATATAGAAAATTGCCTGTGCATAGTGATGTTCAAGATGTTGTTCGTGGAAATTGTTTGCCATTGCAAGTTGTACCTATTTTGATATATATATATATATATATATATATATATATATATATATATATATATATATATATATATATATATATATATATATATATATATATATATATATATATATATATATATATATATATATATATATATATACACAAGATTAAAGAAGAAATATTTAATATACTTATTTATGAAGAAATATTTAATATATTTATGTTTACATTTGATTTTAAAAAACTCACAAACATTTGTTTTTATTCCAAAAGATGTTAACACTGTGTAAAATACGAAATCTGCTAATAGTGCGTTGACTATCTGAATGTCTATTTCAGTATTCCAATATTTTGGAATGAACTGAACCCGATAATCAGTTAGCAAACAATTCCTCGTAGCATAATATAACCTAAGAAATATAACTGGCAACTTACTCAATTATTTATATCAAAGTTTTCATTTCATTTTAGCAAAGTTTTATACTGAAAATATAAAGTTCCGCGCAATGTTTTGGGTTAACCAAGATGGCGGCTGTTTTTAAAAACTGGCTTCAGCGCGTTTTATATAAAGTATATACTACGGCGTCTCCTGTTTATTAAACCTCCTTGCTTGCGACTTATCTGGCCCGTTTATTCGGCTGACGAGATTTCAAAAAATTATTAAAGTACTTTAAGTTTTTTTTATTTTTACTGTTCGGTAACGTAACTTAAGGCCAAGTTAGTCAAAAAAATCTTGCGACTTATCTGGCCCTTTTATTCGGCTAACGAGATTTTAAAAACTTCTTAAAGCACTTTAAATTGTTTTATTTTTGTCGTTCGGTAGCGTAACTTCAGGCCAAGTTAGTCGAATTTAAATATATGATGATTGCCCCCTGACTAATTTAAAAGAAGCCTTTTCTAACAATAATTCTTTGAATGTTTTAAATAAATTTTAAATAATTTTTGATTTGGCATGCATTTACAGTCTGTAAGGTATTTGCTTGAAAATGGATTTATTGAAAGTTTACAAACTCTTTATTCAGAATTGTCAGTAAAGATTAATATCCTTCATAAGTAGGTATGCGGAAATAGCCGTTTTACGGAATCGAATTTTGTGCTAAAATTCTGTGCCACGTTTTTTGAATTCTTTTTGAGGCAGCGTCAGACAAACGTTTTGTTGTGGTGTTTCTTTTTAGAAAAGTACATCAACATAGATTATTTTTGAAAAGAAGAGATTTAGATGCATATTTTTATGAATCAATTATGTATGGATGATTTACTTTTTATTGACTTTATAGATATTGAAAATTTACTTGATGTTGTCACGTGAAATTTGTATTGATGGAATGCTGAGACATTTTGCAAAACTACTGAGACATTTTTTTACATCCTTTATTTATTCACCTGCCAAATTTCAAGAAAAAATAATATGTAGCAGATAATTTAAAAAGTGTAGCAGTTTTGGTACCTAAATTTTGTTTTCACAAATTCGCGATGGGTGTTGTTGTGGTTGGGGGAGAAAGTCGGAATCTACATACTATGTATATAACAATAACAGTAATAATAATACTGTCATTATTATTGTTGTCGTTATTTTAATAATTTCATTGTTTTATATTTATTATTAAATCATAATTTATGTATATAATATAAATACACTATATTATGGTTTATTCTTTAATATTCTTTTAGATAAAATAATATTCTTTTATATTCCTAATAATATTCTTTTATATTCTTAATATTTTTTTAGATAAAAAGCAGATATTTGTTTAACAATCATTGTTAATCTCATCAATCAATCTCAGATTGATTTTTGTAAACAAAAAGTTCATTTTTGTAAACAAAACAATCTCAGAAAGATTTTGAAAATCTTTGGATATTACCATATCTAGTAAGGTATTTATGTCTTTAATCGTGACATTTGTATTTAAAAATTTTTGTATAATTTTTGTAGTTTTATTTTTCTGTTTCAAGTAAGGAATTAAAAAAAAATGTCTTTATAATTCCTGTTATGTCTGAAACTGTAAAGTGTTATTCTTTAAACATTAGGATAAAAATTTTAGTATGTTGTCAAATGTGCTAACACTGTTAGCACATTTGACCTGTTAGTAACAGGTAATATTCCATTTTTGAAAAAAAATGGAATATTACCTGGAAAAGCTGATGATTACATTTTTGGGCATTACATTGTACTGATTACATTGTATTGATTACATTGTAGGGCAGTAGATCATCTAGCTTTTATTTATTCGAATTTTCATTTACATAATTATGATGAGTGTTGTTAATTGAGTATTGAAAATATTTCCATCACAATATCAGACAGAGTTGCAGTTAACCATCTAACCATAAGCAAAGTTAGTGCAACTTGGGGTAAAACTCTGAATTTATTGAATTTTTATTTGCACCCTCTTCATACAATTGCTACTGAATGTCGCTCAGCGTTGATGTGTCTAGAGACAGAAAATTTGAATTATTTGGCAATGATTATGTAGCTGTCAAAATTGATTTGGCTGTGAATAAGATGAGGTTTAAAGACAGTGAAAGCGATCCCAAGGGATTTGTTACTTTTTAAGACCACAAAAAACTACCTAGGTGTATCATCCCTAGATATCGAGGAAACCGTCTTCATATTTTCTTTTTAATACTTGTCATATATTTATTAAACACTATGCTAATTTTCTAAATTTTCTGATCACTAGAACAGTCAAATGTGGCAGTTTGCAAGCAGCTCTGCGAGAAGCATTTTGTAATGCTACCACTTTAAAAAAAATGTGTGTGCTTGGTGTATTTGGGAAACTGCTAAGTGGTCCGTGGATGACTAAGTTTTATGTATCAGCTGAGGATGCAAATTTTGATCATCTCACCGGTATTCAGATTCTAAAAAACATTTTGGAAACAGTTAATGTTTGCAAATCTAATCCGGCTGCACTGTTTTGCAGAGCAACAGATTTTTTGGGGGAAATGCTTCCTTCAAACGTTTTTGAACCAATAACATATTAATGCTGCATTGATGACCAGGTTATTAGCATGACTTCAGCTTGTCTTAATTCAGTAAAGGATGTATTGATTAGACAATGTAAAAGGTACTTCTCCTTTTTCATTACAGAGACACTTAAGCAGGAAACAGCTAGTGCAAGGTTTCACAATATAGATAGTGAAGAGTTAATTGGTATGTTTAGTAAATCTAAGGGAAGATTCCCTAATACAACAATTTTATATAATTCTTGAATGTAAAGGAATAAGTGAATGTAAAGGAAGATCCTCTAATGCAACAACTTGTTATATTTCTTGCAAAATAAGATGAAAAAAGAAAAGGACTATTTATTATCTTGATAGTTTAGATTACTAACTAAGTAAGAAAATGTAATTAATGGTCCATTTTCTACAACATGCTCAAATTCGATCTGCATTATATAAGAGACAGACATGCAAGCATCAAATGTTGGATGAACAAGATAAAAAGAAATTATAACAAAAACTTAAGTTAATGACTTTCAGCCAGATTAAGAATTTGTATAAACAATTATCATCCAGTTGCTACAAAGCAACTGGATGATTTAGATGATGTTATGTCTGACAGAATTGTTAGTAGCAAACTATATCAT